CGTGCGTGGGGGCCTCGCCGAGCTCGGGGCGCTCCTGTGGCTGACGCTGCTGTAGTTGGAGGAGACACTATCCGGCCGGCCAGGACGAGGCAACGCATCGGGCGCCTCCAGGTTTGGTCCTCCTTCAGCGTGGCTCAGAGCAGCACCCTTGGGAAGCAGCTGGCCTGGGAAGGAGCCGTGGCGGCAGGGGTCGGGGTTGGGGGCGCTGGCGCCCCGCGGCTCGCTCGGCAGCAACCCCTGGTTCTGGATGCACTCCAGGTTCTCCACGTTCTCGCACTGCGAGCCGCCTGCCTGAGAGAGAACGCCGGGTGCAGCCCGCTGAGGCTGGTGATAAAAGGGTGCCAAATTTGGCTGACAAGCATCAAACTCTGCTTTCTCAACGACGTAAGGTTTTTCAGATGAAAGTATTTCTTCATTTTCTGCCTCATCCCCTTTGAAAAACATGGAGAGAGTTCCTGAATCTCGGTCTGTGGGAATGGGTCTATTTGACGTTTCAGACGTACCTGGAGACTGGTGTTGGGGGTTATTTTCCTGAGCTGTGGGAATGACAAAACTGGAGTCTTGCAGTGGTGGCTGTGGGTAAAACTGTTCCTGGTATGGTTGACTTAACCAAGGGTTACCCATGTCTGCGTTCTGCCTAAACACGTTTCCAGGCTGGATGCTGTTCATGTGATGACTGCTGTTTGCAGAACTGTTTTTCCCATTCTTTTCACAACCAGCAGGTAAAGGCGCTTGCATATTTTGTGGAACACCTTGGTGCACGGGAGCCTGCTGTAAATTTGTCTGTGGAGGAGGATGAGAAGTGCTAACAGAAGACTGAGAAACGTTATAAACGTCAATCTGAGGAGACGGCTCAGGATAGGGCACAAAATTTCGAACTGGAGACTGCAGGTTACCTTGAAGAGGCCTCCACTGAGACACAGGCTGCTGAGGAGGTGGAGGGAAGAGTGCTGCTGCGTTGGGTCCTGAAGGAACATCGTTTAGATCTCTACTAACATCTTGTCTACCTCCAGGTCTGTTGGATGCAGACACCCCTCCAGGATGCACGCTAAAAGAGTTCTCAAGTGCAGCTCCTGGATTATACTGCAAGGGTACTGCAGGCCCACGGAGTCCAGGGTCCACATTTGGATGCCCTTCTGCAGTACTATTTAGAACATACCCCGGGGACGGCGAAGGAATGGGAACATTAGAAAAAGTACTGGTGCTCCCTCCTGGCTGGGAGGGAGGAGCTGCTGGGTGCTGTCCGTGAGGGCTGCCCCCGGCAGGCGGCGGGGAAGGGCTCTGCAGCACCAACGCGCCGCCCTTGGCCGGGCTGTCCGCAGGGGGAGCCTGGGGGGGCTGCCTGCCAAAGGCAAAGGGGTCTGTCACGGGCTGCACGGGGGCAGCTGGGGCACTGGCCCGCTTGGC